CACTGTTGACTATTAACAAAGTATTGCACAGTGAGGTGAAGAGGCACTACAGCTTAGTTGTTCCCCCTCCTTTGTCCTCCTGTCTCCCCTCCCTTATTATGTTGCTCTTTGTTGTTTGTTTTCTCTTCTGGTTTTTTTTCTCGTGATCCAGCTGTTTTGTTTCTTTTTCTTTCTTCCCCCCTTCTCACCGTCTCTTCTCTCCTCTGGTTTTCTTTCTCTCCCTCTCTTTCTTTCATTCTCTCTCCCTGTCCTGTCCCACAGTCATGTCTGTCCCGTCTGTAACAACTGAAAATAAAATAAAATAAATGCATAATTATAATAAAGGTCAATCAAATGGACCAATATGGCAAAGCCATGATGATCCACTTGGTAAAGTAAATCCTCTTGGCATCTTTTTTGGCCTTCAGACAACGATTCTGATGCTAAAGATCCAAACGGGACAAAAAAAAGATCTGAATCTCAGTGACCTCAAAGTCAAGGTGTTGTTGTTTTTATTAAGAAAACCAAAAGAAGGTGGAAATATTTTTATAATTTACTGGAAACTATGAATGCTAGAAGTTTTCTAGAATTGATTTTAAAATAAGAGTCATGGTTCTGATCTGATGGTTCTGATCTGATGGTTCTGATCTGATGGTTCTGATCTGATGGTTCTGATCTGGTCCCTCTGCAGCTGAACCGGATCGAGCTGGACTCTGTGAAGAAGCAGCTGGAGGATCGCTGGAGGAGCATCCACGAGAAGCTGCAGGCTCAGGCGGCGCCGGAGTACGAGGACGCCGCCGGGATCAGGAAGTGAGAACACTGCACTCTTACACGCAGTACAGCTCACGATCACAGGTGCTTCCAGGAGATCCAATCAGGAGAAAGAGGGCTTTTAGGGAGGGGCTAACAGAGATAGGATGAATTGAAGGATTATTTTGACCTGTCAGTCACGCACAGCTGCTCTGACAGACGATATATGTCCCTAACATTATTATTATTGTTCTTAACATTATTGGCTTTGGTCTGAATGTCATTTGTTGCTAAATGTTCCATAATTAGCGTCTGACTGAAACATCTGCAGACAGTGTTTGTTCAGATTTCGTCTGAATCAGACGCGTGAGGTAACAAAGAAGGAGGAGCATTTTTTATGAATGTCTTCAGAACATTTTAAATATGTGCAGCAGGTGAAGGGCTGAGAAGCACTGAAGATTTGTCCTTGTGTTTATTTCCAGACAGCTCGTGGAGAGATTCCACTGCCTCTCCTGCGACCGGCCCATCGTGAAGCACACGCCCGGACCGTGAGTGAACGCCGCTCACAGAGTACGTGACCCAAACCTCTGAGCTGCTGTCTGAACTCCTCCCCTCTCCTACATTTGTACCTTTTCTTTGAGGGTTAAAGGCATCTGGTGACGCTGCCCTCGTTTCCCGCATTCCCCTCGCACAAGTCCATCCGGCCGTTCACCGTTTACACCATGGAGCAGTTACGCCAGCACTACCGGAGGTGAGTTACCTGCACACACATGGTGAGGCTCCTCAGTGTCTTCTGTTCTGATGAGCCCCTGTCACCGCCTCAGCCAGCAGCCAGGCACCAACCGCTGCAGGTACGAGGCAGCTAAGGCGTGCAGGAGCAGGGAGCGGCTTCAGAGGAGCCGCGTCACCGCGTGCAGGCAGATAGAGAGCGTAGAGATGCAGGGACGGCCGCAGCACGGCGATGGCACGAACACAGCGCAAGGCCAGCAGTGAGTCAGGGCAGGGGTGGAGCTTAAAGTCTGCGGTTGCTACAGGGTTAATGTGGAAAGAGCAAGACTGTAATTTCATGCGTTCACTCGATCACTGAGTTTGAACCTCAGTGCTGCCGTTACCGTTCTGCAGCGTTTCTGAGGTGAAGCTACAGAAAATCAGCACGTACATGATGATGACGTCATTAGAGGTCAGTGAGCAGATCTGTGATTTCTGTGTTGATCACCGTTCCATTTCTCTGTCCTCACGCCTCGGGCAGCGAGCGCATATCTGAGCTGACGGATTACGGTCACCTGGCTGCGGCGCGGAGCTGCGGCGGGAGTCACCACACCAACGCTGCGGGCAGCCAGCGCCGTGGCGGCCCGCAGTACACAAAACTCCACGGTGAGGTGGACGGTGCGATGCAGGTACGTCTGAGGAAAACGGGCCTGAAACTGCAGCGAGGTCTTAAAGGTCTGTTTGAGGTTTCACACTGTGTGTGTGTGTGTGTGTGTGTGTGTGTGTGTGTGTGTGTGTGTGTGTGTGTGTGTGTGTGTGTGTGTGTGTGTGTGTGTCGGAGGAGGTGGATATCGTTGGACTGGACGGGCGCATTTACAAAGGGCGCCTGAACGTCCCGGCCTGCAGGAACTCCGAAACTAAACTGCCAACGATCCCCACCAGAGACGGTAAACTCTGAATCCATCACACGTCACTAACGCTGCGTCACGCTGCGAGGGAAAAATACTCACATCTGAATAACACACAGGCTACACAACCCCCAGCAAACACCTGAAGCTCGACTCCAGCAGACGTTTGCACGGAGTTCAAGTTAAAAATTCCAAAAGAAGCAGCCTGACAGCGCTGCTGTGAACACACAACAATGACACCTGGTTGTCATGGTGACTCCAGGTTTGCAGTGCTTGTCCTTCTTCGCTTTGGTCACATGTTCCACCTGCTCCGTGTCTGCAGGCGTGTATAAGAGTAAGGACAAAGCCAAGCCTGCTGCCTCTCCGGAGGTGGGACCCAGCACTCCTCTTCATCCGCCCTGCAGTCCCAGGAGCGCAGCGTGCAGCCGCTCGGGTGAGTCATTCACGCAGGTAAAGGTGTCATCAGTACCAGTTAAAACAAAAGAAGCTAAGAAGGTGAGGAACACCTCGATCTCTTCCCCCCGAGAGTAGCAGGAGGAGGTGGCCGGGGTGAGGGAGGTCTGGGAGTGTCTGTTGTTTCTGCTCCACCTTTAAAGTTTAAACTGAAGTGAATCCTTCTGTGTCGACAGCAGAGCGCCTGAGTGTCTGTTGCTTATTCATCTGATGTCTAAATGTCCTGCAAACACAAACCTGGCTCCTCCTCCTCTCCTTCCTCTCCAGCATCCAGCTGCTCCGGTCGTGATTGGCCCGTCTCGGCTCTGGGCTGTGCGTCTCAGAGCTCCATCGCTCAGGGTTCAGCTGCGGCTGACAGCACCGCAGAGCCTCCAAGCAACGAGCCCCTCAACCTGTAGGGGGCAGCGTCTGCCTCCATGTTGTGTTTAGTTTGCGAGTGCAGACAGAGGTTCGGGTAACCTCCTCCTGCTTATCGTCCAGACTACACATCCCAGAACCCCCCGTGATGTGGCTCTGTACTTATTTTTTCACTTTGAATATTGTTGTTAACAGATAATAAACTTTAGTGTGAATTTAATCACTTTTTAGAACATCAGATATTAAACATCAAACAGATGTTATTTATCATAAGTGAGCCACGTTTAACGTTTTATCTTAAAGGATCCTTTTGATGTAATTCACAGTAAAACGTCACCGAGTCTGTCTGAACATGGTCTTTGTATGTTTATTTGAAAAACAGAGGATTCCCTCTTAATCAAACCACCTGATCAACTATTGATTACTGAAATAATCAATAGTCTTTAAAAGGCTTCAAGAAGGTCAGGTGAGGTATAGAATTATTTTACCTTTCTTTCACCTCCACATCCATTTACTCACCTTAGCTCGTGTGATTAGATGGGGACAGTCCCATAGGACTTAAAGTCTGGGACTCTCCACCGGTCGCTCTTAGAACTGAAGAAGCTTCTGGAAACTTAAAGACGTCCAGATGCTTTTCTTTCAAAGCTCCTCAGAAAACCTTGTGTGTAGATATACAAATATATATGTGTATATATATATATATCTTGTAGTAGTAGGATATATTTTTATAGCAGCAGTGAGAAGGATCAGAAACACTGATCTAAACATGCAGAGCTCTCATGCAGCCTCGTGGGCCAGAGAAGAGTTGTGTTGTTGTCGTGTTGCTCTGTCAGCGAGCCGAGGATGGTAAATGGTGTGTATTTGTATAGCGCTTTACACTATACACAATCATCCACCCATTCACACATTCAGGACTCAGCTGTTGCATCATGTGGGGAATTACATCATCACTACCAGCAGCAAAAGTACTTCCTGTTAACAGGAACACGAGGCCGCGAGCAGGAAGGACACGCTGATGAGTAAATACAAAAGCAGGAGGGAGAGGTGCGGTTACAACTCCTGAAGCTTCCTGTCTTTCAACACATTAGGTCTGTGCTTCAGTCCGACTCCAGGCAGCCTGGAAAACCTGGGAACTCTAAACTGTTTTCCAGTCCTGGAAAACTCCCCAAGTTTATAGATCAGGACCTGAATAAAAAACACTGTAAACACACAATGTAAACATAAAGTCTTTATGAGGGTCAGATTTTTCTTTCCCCTCAGTGATGTTTTACACACATCGTGTCTGAAACCAAACTTTTACTCCCTTCATGCATCAAAGTCTCTGTGCAGAAGCTTTTAACGCAGACTGACTTTGACTTTTTCGTGCTTTCTTTTTAAACTACCAGTCACATGAGTGACTAACTGGGCTTTAAATCCAGGCGTCGTATCAAAGGCGCTGTCAGGTGAGGCTGTGGCATCAGAAGCTCAGTTCAGGTGTCAGCACGTTCAGTGTGATTCAGGAAGCCGGGTCAGTGTTCGTACACGGACATGCTGGCGTTCAGCTCACTCAAGCCTGGGCTGTGGCCCCTGATGTTCTGTTTCCGTTGCTGGAAGCCAACTGAGATTTCTTTTACATACGTTTATTTTCACTGGCAGCATTTAATATAAACACGTGTCGCCAGTGTAACGTGAGAGAAACTAACATCGGCCATCATCGGTCTCACACCAACCTGCCCTTTCCCTCCTGCTGCCACCCCGTCACTCGTCTCCACCTGGTCTCCAGGTGTTTAAACTCCACCTTCACCGTTCCACCATCTATTCAGTCCTCTTCTCCACCAAACCCACTGAGAATATGCTGTGAATATTTTGTCTTCAGCACCAGTGTGAGCAGACTGTGGTCACTGTAGGCTGACTGCTTCATGATGATATAATGTGGAAAAATGTGTTTTATAACTGATCATTTGAAGGTTATGGCTGATGCCTGGCTAAGAGCCCAGCAGGGTTATTAATAGAGATGGACCGATCCGATATTAC